TTATAGAATATAATATAGACAAAGCTTTAATTAAAGTTTAAAATTTCTCCAATCTTACAAATACCAGTTATTTAGCTACTAAATTATATAGTGGGCATGTGTTTTATTTTTAAAATATGACTACAGGCCATTCTGAACAGATGCTTGATTTTCTTTTTCTTTTTTTTTTTTTTTTTGTAGAGATTTTTGCTTTAGGTCACATGCACTTGCCAAGGAGAGAAAGACAGAGACAGAGACAGTGGGAGGGAAAGTAAGAAATCATCCCCCAGGAGGAATGGCCATGCTGCAATCCCTTCTCCTCCATGCTCCTCCCAGGATCTTGAACATGCACATACTTGCACCCGGCATGAGTTTCAAGCCAATGGGTCCAGAACTCAAACTGTGGTCAGCCAGGTGGGAGTCCAGTGACGTAACCACTTTGCCATCTGCTGGCCCCAAGATGCTTGAGTTTTAAGTCACATTATTATTCTTATAACGTTTTAAAATATCATATGTTTTCTAGTATTTAGTTAAGATGAAATTTTGTAACCACTAATTTCAGTATCTTTAAAAGTGTTTCACAAATATATGTCAAATTCTAACGTTTATGAGATGTGATGAGGAGCCAGACAACAGTGCAGTAGTAAAACACAACTTCTCTGTGAGGCCCTCCATATGGGAAAGATCCTGTTTCAAATTCAGAGATCTCCCCGAGTATGTAGGCCCACAATACCCACAATCCAGGATTCAATGGAGACTGAAGGGAATCGCTGCAATGAGAATCTTTTGGGGATATTGTCTTTCTCCCTCTCATGTCTCCCTTGCTCGTGGAAGAAAAGTTAATAAAAAAAAAAAAAAAAACTTTAACATTTTAAAAACATCGAATAATTATCAGACTCCTTCCAGTTGGCTTTTTTAAACACATGTGTAAGTCTCTTACTGGGTTCCCTTTTTTATCTTCAGCTTGATTTCTTCCTTGAGCACTAGTTCCCCAAGCTCCACATTTTCCATTTTTCTCTCCCACAGATTCCTTTCTCCTACTTTGTCCACAGCAGCCCACTACTCCCACTCACATTCCACTCAAAAGAACAGCATTTCAGCTTGCAACATATAGTCAAGAAACATTTGGACAATGCATAGTCATTTTTTCATGCCATCTCAGTATTTTACACAAAGTCTGACTTTGTAGAGACATCTTGCTTCAAGCCGTTAATATATCACTAATCAGAGTAGTCACGGCAATGTTCATTCATTCATTCACTAAGTATTTATTGAGTGACTACCATGTGTCAGGTAGGATTTTAGGGGTAGGGAACACTTCCGTAAACAAATCAGAAGTTTCTGCTTTTAAGGTATTTAGGTAATAGAGAAGGAGAGAAAAAAAATACAGTAAACCCACTAGTGCATCATATATTATGTTACGGAGGTGGTGAAGGCTAGGATGAAAATTAAAGGAGGAGGACAGTTGTCGGGTCCCAGTCCAGGTCAGGGCTGGAGAGGCTACCATACTGCAGATTGACAGGGGAGTCTCAAGGATTCTGTGGGTCACCTCACATACGTGTGCTCCCTACCAATCTAAATCCTTACATTGAAAAAAAAAATGAAGAAAGATTTCATGGAGCCCTCACTAGAAGTTAACTAGATTAATACTCGTCCATTTTTCTTACTTCCACATTTTGGTTCTCTGATAGGTTGCATGATCTGAGGAAGGCAAGAGATACCATCACCCTCAACTCCACTTCTGTTTCTCAAGAGCTATAGAAATGTATGCAAATGATTCCACCTTCCAGGTCTCTTCTTTATTTAAAAATGAGAATAACAAATCCAATCTGACAGTATTACTCTGACAATATACGAAGATAATATATAAATACTAAAATATGATGGGTAAACTGGTACATTGGCTGGTGGGGAAAAAAAAGTCTGGGAGAAGATTTAAATGAAAAGAGTTGCACAAAATATTGACAATTAATGATGCCCATATGAAAGTTTAATTCATTATTAGATCTCATTTTAAGTTTCAAAATTTCCAAAATACTTTTTCAAAAAAAAAAGTATTTCAAGGTAAGGATTACTTTTGAAAACAAAGATACTTTCTTTGTAAAGATTTTTACAATAAATAGAAAACAAATGCATATAGGAATTTTAACTTATTTTGTATAAATATTTTCTAAAACTAGCAAAAAGTGTATCTACTTACTGAGGACTTACTCACCTGAAATATTCTACATACTTTTCATACTTTCTTCTAACACATTATGCCCTTTTTAAAAAAACTAACTCCGGGGTCCAGCAGGTGGTGTAGTGATTAAGGCACTGGACACTCCCACATGGCTGACCACAGTTCAAGTCTCAGACCTGGTGGCTTGCTTTCTCATTTTCCTTCTCTCTGTGTGTCTGTCTTTCTCTGGTCAAATGAAAATAAATGAATGAATAAATAAAATTAAATAAATAATTCTTTAAAACAAAACAAAATAAAGCTAACTCCAGGCCCAGCCATGGTGGCACGCATTGCTATGACACTGTGCTTCACAGGCTGTGACCACATGGGAGACTCAGGTCCAATTCCTTGTCCAACCTAAAGGCTGGATATGGTGCTGTGTGCCTGTAATCACAGAGACTCGAGGAGGGCTAACGCAGGAGGTTTGTGAGCTTGAGGCTAGAGCTAGAGCCAACCTGGGCAACACAGCAATATCATAGCTTAGAAAAGAGCTGGCTGGGCTGGCTAGGTCCTAGTGGTCAAGGGAGTTAGATATCACACAGTCAACTATGTAGTTCAAGTTCCGGACCTGGCAGCATGAGGAATATGCTGGGCATGTGAACGTCCATGCTCAGAATCCCAGCAAGACGGAGAAATGGAAGAGAAGAGATTGTGGCATGATCACACGTTGTTAGGATGTGTTTTCTCCCTCTCCCTGTCTCTCTCTGACAGGTACATTTGCCCTCTGGAAAATTAAAAAACTAAAATAAGCTTCATAACATGGCTAGACCCTATCTTAAAATTAACTTCATGTTTTTCTTACAGTATGAAAGAATTTAAGACTGAAAGGTAAAACAGCATCATTAAGTGTAAAGATCCACATGGTACTCGATGTGTAACAAATATTGGAGAGAAATTTTAATAACATTTGTGGAATGCTTAGAAATATTTATATAATGAAGCTCCACATTGCTAACACAAATTCTAGACAATGAATTCTACATGTTTGTTTTAAGAAATTTAAAAGCTTACCAGGTCAGTATCTGCCTTTTTATAGGCGGGGCCCAGTCCAGGTCAGGGCTGGAGAGGCTACCATACTGCAGATTGACAGGGGAGTCTCAAGGATTCTGTGGGTCACCTCACATACGTGTGCTCCCTACCAATCTAAATCCTTACATTGAAAAAAAAAATGAAGAAAGATTTCATGGAGCCCTCACTAGAAGTTAACTAGATTAATACTCGTCCATTTTTCTTACTTCCACATTTTGGTTCTCTGATAGGTTGCATGATCTGAGGAAGGCAAGAGATACCATCACCCTCAACTCCACTTCTGTTTCTCAAGAGCTATAGAAATGTATGCAAATGATTCCACCTTCCAGGTCTCTTCTTTATTTAAAAATGAGAATAACAAATCCAATCTGACAGTATTACTCTGACAATATACGAAGATAATATATAAATACTAAAATATGATGGGTAAACTGGTACATTGGCTGGTGGGGAAAAAAAAGTCTGGGAGAAGATTTAAATGAAAAGAGTTGCACAAAATATTGACAATTAATGATGCCCATATGAAAGTTTAATTCATTATTAGATCTCATTTTAAGTTTCAAAATTTCCAAAATACTTTTTCAAAAAAAAAAGTATTTCAAGGTAAGGATTACTTTTGAAAACAAAGATACTTTCTTTGTAAAGATTTTTACAATAAATAGAAAACAAATGCATATAGGAATTTTAACTTATTTTGTATAAATATTTTCTAAAACTAGCAAAAAGTGTATCTACTTACTGAGGACTTACTAACCTGAAATATTCTACATACTTTTCATACTTTCTTCTAACACATTATGCCCTTTTTAAAAAAACTAACTCCGGGGTCCAGCAGGTGGTGTAGTGATTAAGGCACTGGACACTCCCACATGGCTGACCACAGTTCAAGTCTCAGACCTGGTGGCTTGCTTTCTCATTTTCCTTCTCTCTGTGTGTCTGTCTTTCTCTGGTCAAATGAAAATAAATGAATGAATAAATAAAATTAAATAAATAATTCTTTAAAACAAAACAAAATAAAGCTAACTCCAGGCCCAGCCATGGTGGCACGCATTGCTATGACACTGTGCTTCACAGGCTGTGACCACATGGGAGACTCAGGTCCAATTCCTTGTCCAACCTAAAGGCTGGATATGGTGCTGTGTGCCTGTAATCACAGAGACTCGAGGAGGGCTAACGCAGGAGGTTTGTGAGCTTGAGGCTAGAGCTAGAGCCAACCTGGGCAACACAGCAATATCATAGCTTAGAAAAGAGCTGGCTGGGCTGGCTAGGTCCTAGTGGTCAAGGGAGTTAGATATCACACAGTCAACTATGTAGTTCAAGTTCCGGACCTGGCAGCATGAGGAATATGCTGGGCATGTGAACGTCCATGCTCAGAATCCCAGCAAGACGGAGAAATGGAAGAGAAGAGATTGTGGCATGATCACACGTTGTTAGGATGTGTTTTCTCCCTCTCCCTGTCTCTCTCTGACAGGTACATTTGCCCTCTGGAAAATTAAAAAACTAAAATAAGCTTCATAACATGGCTAGACCCTATCTTAAAATTAACTTCATGTTTTTCTTACAGTATGAAAGAATTTAAGACTGAAAGGTAAAACAGCATCATTAAGTGTAAAGATCCACATGGTACTCGATGTGTAACAAATATTGGAGAGAAATTTTAATAACATTTGTGGAATGCTTAGAAATATTTATATAATGAAGCTCCACATTGCTAACACAAATTCTAGACAATGAATTCTACATGTTTGTTTTAAGAAATTTAAAAGCTTACCAGGTCAGTATCTGCCTTTTTATAGGTCAAGGCTTCAACTTTGGAATCCAGTTCGGCTTGAATTTGGTCTCTTCTCTTCATAACAGCCTTCACATTAAAACATAAGGATAAATAGGTTGTACTTAGTTTTAATATTCTTTATAACAAAAATATACATTTCAGAATATAAATAGCATCTCTTCCCTAAGCCATCAGTCTTTTGGGGATACAATCCATTTAAAGAGTTGCTGGGGTTTTAAAGACATCTTTAAAAGCTAAAAGGAGCACATATTTAAGATAATTTTTTTCATACATCTTTTATTAGTTTTCCCAGTGCACATTTTATCCGTTTAAGCCAATGTGGGTACAAGATTTGATGGAGCACTCTAAGGGTGTACAACTCTTCAAACAAAGCAAAGAAATTAAATGGAAACATTAAAGGAAGCAATGAAAGTATTTCTATAGTGCAAACTGGTTGTAGAGGTAGCTCACATGGATCAAATACCTGGAACATCCACTGGCAGTGGCAGTCCTCTTACCTAACTCCAAAGGGACAGTTCGTGACACAGGCAATTATGGTGGGGAATGAGAACATTACAGTGTGTATTCACATCTTACACATTTTACTTTAGCTCGAAATGCATACATGTTCATCAATTAGCCAAGATTCTGATGACAAATTCTCTGACTGAGAGGCGTTGCGTCTTGTTATCCTGAGTAACTAAGATTTCCCGTTTCAGTGTTTTTAAACTTACAACACCCTTATGAAGCAATCTGGATACTGAGTCTACCTCCATCTTTAGTATTTGTTGCCCATTTTTTACCAAGTTTCTTCTTGGTGACTCACTTTTTTCCCAAGACGGTCTACTTAGCCTTCTTAGACATCAGAACTTCTCTTATTTGTACTCATTTTTCACTGGTTTTCACATTGATTAAATAATGAAATTCTTATAATAAACATAAATGGCCTAAACAAGTTCGGGGAAAAAATATGACTCTGGGTAAACAAGCAACTCAACTGGTGAGAGAGGAAGTAGAGGACCTACAAGAGAAGAACAGGTCTGCCTCCTGGGTGTTACACACGGGAAGGGAAGAACACAGACCTGAACCAGTTACAACTTCACTCTGCACTGTGTGCATGAGCACTGAGAGGCATTAAGGATAAAAGGCATCCTGAGAGCCACTAGATCTAATTTTTGCTTTAGTTTTAAAGTTTTTTTTTTGTTTCTTCCATAGCAAAGTGATGGCAAAAGGAGGGTGGGCAGAGGCAGAGACAGAGACATAGCACCCCCGATAAGGTCCTAATGCCATGATCCATCCCAAGCTTCAGCCAGCACCAAGTACTGACACATAGGACCTGGCTTAGTCAGGGTCTCGGTGACCCTCCAAATGTCCAGCCCCACCCAGTCTAATTTTACATCTGATGAAATCACTCTTAAGATAGTCAAAAGAGATGAACATTTCTCTTGGTTTCAAAAAAATGAATAGAAAATTCAGCTAATTATCACAGCTTTCTTTAGATTTACTTCAAAGTTCAATGATCATTAATGTCAAAAACCCCTTCCTTTCTCTAACCTGAATGACTCATACTGTAATTTAGTCTCATTTATTTTAGATCTGTTTCCTTAAGTATGAAGTACTGTGCTTCATATGCATAGGTATATGTGAAATAAGAGCTTGCTGCAGCAGTAATGGCAATCACACAAATTCCATCCTTTTAGTCAAGATCATATTTTTCATTATTATTGCTCAGACTAAAAGAAACATTCTAATATAAAACAGACAGAGGAGCCAGCTGGTGGTGCAATGGTTAAATAAGCAAGCCCACATAGGAAAGGTCCTGGGTTCGCATTCTAGGGCCTTCCTGAGCGTGCTGGGCACACCTGTGCATGCCCGTGATCCAGACTGGCTAAAACTGAGGGCGAACAGTGGCATGAAGACCCTGTTGGGGTGCCTATCTATGTCCATCTCTGTTTGTCTACATCTCTCGCTGATGGATGAAATACATGACCCTAAAAACCAAAAGTGACCAGAAAAAAACACAGAACCAGAATGATAATATAAAGGTTACTGATTATACCCTGCAAGTCACAAAATAATTCAATCAAGTGAAAACCCAGAAAATTATTTTTTTCTGATTGTTATTATAAACTTTCCATGCCTCCAATAATATAATATTTAAACAGCATAATTCCCATCTTGACACAATATGGAGAAAAATATTATCTAATTAAAAGAACATACAAGTTATATCTCTTTGATGAACCACAAAAGAGGATAGTCAGTAATGAAGTAAAACCACAAGATGTACCAATGAAAGTTATAGAGAGATGCAGGAGACGCCTCAGCAGTGAAACGTGAGAGACCTTTAGGGAGTTGAGGGGCTTGTTTATAGGCGTGCCCCAGTAAATTCAAGTAATTGCAGAGGCCTGAAAGGTCTATGCAGTTTGAATGTATCTGTCACGGGAAGCCTAAACATGGTAAACAAGATGGGGGCAGATCTCATGACAAAAGGTTAAGAAAAGCTTTTGTTGCCAAAATAGAGGTAATGTTAAAGAAAAAAAAAAGTCCTAAAAATCAAGGGTACATGACAAAAGGAATCAAATAGGTCTCTGGTGATAAAATGTAGAACGGGTATATCTGAATGTCAACTGATTCCTCTACTCACTGCCACTCTGAAACACCAGAGACCAGAAGATGCCAGTTTGGCTGCGTGAAGCACGAGGGGCACAGGCTAAAAAGCATTCACTTTGCAGATAGCATTGCTAAATCCCAAGTATCTAAAAACCTTAACTTGAACTGAGGTAAACTATAAAACTGATATAATAGGAATAAAGGCCTTTTCAAATAGTAACAACAAGAGAAAGAAAAAACACATTTTAACTTGAAAGACTTCATTTTAGAAGCAACTAGAAGGCAGAACAAACATCAAGATCCTACTCAAGCATTTCCTACATAATGGCACTAAACATATTTCTAAATCAAATGTACCTAGAAGGGAGAAAGCAACTCTTTTGTAAAAAGAAATCCCCAAAGCACTACAATTTGTTTTAAATAAAAAGTATAAAAGGTTGGAAAAGCAAATCACATTCTCTAAGTAAATCTTGATTGAGGATACTTCAAATCTGTGTATCATCTTATAAACTGTACTGCAACTCAGTATTCTTGTCATTTATCAATGTATTCTAATCATCTATTCATGCACCTAAATAGACAAATATATATCGAGCCTCTTTATGCAAAGCATCCTGCTAGAATAGAAAGATAGTGATGAAAAACAGATAGAAATGGCCTTATGAAGCTTCTAATCAGGTAAGGGACTGATGTAAAGTTACAATCCGATGTTCTTACCATTAACATCTCACTATAAAGTACATACTCATGTACAACAGGAAGCAGCACCTCCGAGAGTCCAAACATCCGTTTTTCAGTGGCCTTACAGCATCTGTCGATGCAGTTGGCAATACCTTTTAGAATATCAACCAGATCCTCTTCTGACGCGGACCACAAAATATGTACTGGGCCATATTCTTTCATTTCGTCAAAATATTCTAAGAAAAAAATAATGACTTAATAAGTTCTTCAATCTACAAAAGCTTTTGAAATGACTACATCTCAATAGCTCCCCTAGTCATTGTGCACATGTTCTTATGCATGAATATTAAAAAAAAATAAATATTGGGACCAGCAGATAGCATAATGGGTATGTAGCTGGACTCCCATGTTGTCAACTGCAGCTCGAGTCCCAGACCTGGTGGCTTAAACTCATGTTGGGCACGTGTGCATGCATGCCCAAAATCCCAAGAGGAGAATAGAGGAGAAGGGATTGCAGCATGGCCATCCTCTTTGTGGGGTAATTTCTCGCTTTCTGTCTCTCTGTCTCTCTCTTCCTGGTGAGCACACGCGTCCTATAGAAAAATCTCTCTCAAAAAAAAAATCACCTTTCATTAAATTGACTGGTTATCCCAGTATGCCCAGGTCAGTGTTTGAATGATTACTGTCCAAATGTAACCAATAACAGCATTTCTCTACACCATCCAAAGTGTCCTGGCTTGACAGATAAGCTAAATCATGATTCATTTTTTTACACAGAAAAACAGAAAAATACATCATGACTTTCCCAATGACCTAACATTATAAATATCTACATCCGAGTGTCTCACCAGCAATGTTCCCTAAACAAAACTTGCCTTCTTCCTCCCCTTCCTCTGATTATATCTTCTACTTAATGGTATCCAGAGATCTCAGCAAAAATCAGGGTTATTCCTGACTCACACAGGACCAGTCCATCAACGATTCCATTATTTCTACAAGAAAGGATGCCTAACTGCTCTCTTATCCCTTTTGCCACAGTGAATAAATATTGATGGTTCTTAGCTAAATTAAGGTCCTTTATGATCTGTCCCTATCTACTACTCCAAGTCCAACTACTGAGATTCTCTGCTAAATAGTTATGACTTGAGCCAAAATAACCGCTGTTCTTTCATGAACCTCCCACGAGCGCTCCTAACTCAGACACGTGCATGTGTCCCTGTGCCGTCCCGCACCACCACCTATGTCACCCAGCCAGCTACACGTAAGCCTTGAAGTCCCAGTGACTCTGTTCCAAAGACTCTCAGATTCTTCTGAGAACTGCTTTTGTCTTCCGTGGGCCCATATATTTTATATTTCTATTAAAGCATTTTCCTACTCTATTGTTTGCATAACTCACATACTCCTAGGCCAAATGCTCCTTAGAACAAGGGCTGAGTCTCATTATTTCTATAACTCAAAGCCTGACATTTAATATATTTAACAAATATTTTCATTTCAATAAAAGCATGAGTAAGTATCTAAAAGATGATTCAATGCCATGTATGAGCAATGTATTCAAAACTTTGAATTTCATTTTAAAATATGAACATTTTATATTTTTACTTTCACACAATTAGTTTTCAATGATATATAAAGTTTTTTGGTAGAGAATTTATAAGCAGTAAGCTTTTCTTTTTTATATAAATGCAATGAAACTCTCTATATTTACCTAAAAGAAGTGATTCAGCCACCACAATAATCTGAGTGAATGCCAAATGCATAGACAGAAAGGAGGAGAAGGGATTGCGGCGTGGCCATCCCCCCTTGGGGATGATTTCTCGCTTTCTGTCTCTCTGTCTCTCTCTGTCTTTCTGGTGAGTACACGCCCACTGTAGCAAAATAGCAAAAACCTCTCCAAAAAAAAAATTACTAGAAAGTGTAGAAATTCTATTTCCCGAAACCCCATTCTTTGATTTTAAGCTGTGATTATTTTGAGCAATGAATACCAATTCCACACAACGACAGATCCAAAATCGGGAGATTTTGACATAGGGTTTACTATATCACTATTGTCTATAAAGGCAAAGACAGACAGCTACAGATTAATAAAAACCCATGAGGACAGGTCAAGACCACCTTCGCAGCCTCTAGGAGTCAGAAATGTTCCCCCCATGGCTGGGCACAGCCACGCTCAGAAGGTGAAATTCAGACTCCATGTCCCTGCACCAGGGAACATGTGGATCCACCAGAAAATGCACAACTGCGGAATCCCATGTCTACATACCTCGTTCTTCCTTGTAAATTCTCTGAGATATTTTATCTATCAAATTTATTTTCTGGCTAAATATCTCGATAAAGTGATTCATTTCCATGAACTCCTCGGGGCGGTTTTTAACTCCCCTCACTGAGGACGCCACAGCTCTGACGGTCTGCCCCATCCTGCTCAGGAAGCCAGGTCCTTGCTTCTTGTGTGACGAGAGTTCCTAGAAAAGAAAATGAGTATTTGTGGTGAGGCAAGTAATGCAATTCCAAGACTCGGTAAAATAAGAAACCTAATGAAAAGGCTAAAAGAACGACGTGAAAACTATTTCATACACATCTTTCTTTTTAATGGTAGCTTGAACCAGATGAGTTTTATTAGAGTATAGTTTTTCCTCTTGATAACATTCCCTTTCCAAAGTACTCATGTAAAAACGCGTTATATAGTCTTTTTTGAGCATAAATCTTTAAAAGAACAGAGTTTAAGAGAGGGAACAGTGCTCAAGGAGATACTAGAGAAGATAAGAGGATGATATGTCATGTCATTCATATTTTATAACAGGAACTTAATGGAAAAATGATTGAGAGAAGATTTTTTTTAAGTGCCTACATTACTCCTTGAAAAAGAAAATTGGAAAACTTCATTAATTCTTTAGTTATAATAATAGCTTACAGTTATTGAGAGCTTAATACATTCTAGGCACTATACTCACATTTTTATATACACAACTCACAATACACCTATGAAGTGGGTTCTATTACCTTCTTCGTGTTACTGAAGAAAATAAATGTAAAGAAAGGTTAAGGAACTCACTCAGGATCCAAGAAGAATTAAAGTGGGACAGCAAGGATCAACTCCTGGAAGTCTGATTCCATGGCCTCACTTTTAAGCACTAACCTGCTTTTACCTCTTTCAAATCATCAGGACCCTGTAAACAAAACTACTTGATCATAGCTCTTCAAGCAATTAAAGAGGGTAAATTGTGAAACCACCACCACTGGCTGGCTCTCTGTAGAGAAAACTTTTTAATAAGATATGCGACTAGTTCTTTCACAGTTCATCAAGAGGGACAGCTAGACTTTCAATACAAAATGAATACCATTAAGGGATACATTATATACAAAAGTATCCTTTCTGAAGTGCAGCACATTTAAAAAGAACACAAAAAGGAGGACAAGGGAGTCTAATGACGGTTGCAGCACTTGCTAAGGCACAGGCTTGCAATCAAATAACAGTGAAGAATAACACAAAGGAAAAAAAGTTATAATTATGCTGACTACCAAATCCACAGATAAAAGTACTACACTGTATCATTTACCCAAATCCTAAATAATATAACGTTTTATTTCCTGAAATTCTTACAGACAATAATATAAACTTACTAAAACTGAGAGATACAAAACTCAACACTGATCGATAATTATTTAGTACTGAGTTATGGTATTTATTATCTTTTTTGGCTGACTTATGGCTTCACAGGGGAGAAAAGTAAAACATATAAAGTGTCTTTTAGAAATCAGACTCCCCCCACACACATACATAGATAACTGAAGGAAAAGTAAACATATTATATTATCTATCTATTCATCCATTTAGCAAAGACTTTGATCCTAACTTAAAAATCCCTGACCTCCATTACTCTAAATAGTATCAATAAAAAATATATTTAGATATATACAGCATTGGCTATATATGCAAGTAGCACCCTGACAATGAAAAAAATAAAATTAGTGATCAAGAGAAATAAGAGTATGAGTATTTAAGGAAAATACAAGATTTCTATAACATTTATTTGTAGAAATGACACAGTATATTCTGAAAGATACCTCTCCAGTACTTTTCAGAAACTCCATCTCAATTCAAGTATACCATGCTTGATTTATAAACGGAAAGAGGAAGCACATAATCTATTGTACATACTACTTAAGGATTATATGATTACAAAGAAAAATTCTTCACCCAAGCTTGTGCAGTGAGAAAAACTTTGAAGTCTTCATTAAATGTTAAAGTTGGATGATCAGCAATGCGGTTCAAAAACTTTTGTAAAGCCTTTCTGCGTGTCTCAATGAAGTCATCATTAAAGCGTTCCACCATTCCTTTCACTATAAATTTTTCTGGCAATGGCTGAAGCAATAAACAAACAAACACAAAGAAGAAGAAAAGGTATCTGAGCAATTTTGAAAGAAGTTTATCAAGAATTCTTTATGTTTCCTCTATGAAAGACTAATTGAACATCTAATCTTTACTAATAATATTTTTGAAATCCATAATGCTAGGCCCAAAAATGTGACATCTAACATGTTAAAATAGTTCTTTAAAAACTCTATACATGGATTTAAAAGTTCAGAAACTTTTTTTTTTTGTAAGAGAGATTTTTGCTATAAGACATGTGTGCTTACTAGAGAGAAAGAGAGAGACAGGGAGAGAAAGTGAGAAATCTCCCCCCCACCCCCACACCCAGGTGAGATGACCACGCTGCAATCCCTTCTCCTCCACTCTTTTCTCAGGAGTTTGGACATGCACACACATGTGCCTGGTGTGAGTTTCAAGCTTCTGGGTCGAGGACTTGAACCGCAGTTGGCCATGTGGGAGTCTAGCACCTCAACCACTATGCCACCTATTGGCCCCAAGAAAGATCTATGTTTATGATAAATGAATTACACTGAATTAAAAGGTCTGAAATGAGTTTTTAACTATCTTAAAACATTGACAAGGAAACTGGAAGCATTTTTTACGAAAAAACAACAAACTTACTGGAATAATCAGAGTGGGGTGTGCTTCCTCAAGTTTTCCCTTCAACCAAAGGAAATCTTGATAACGTCTTCTAACTTCAAATTCACTGGAGTCAAATTCCCCACGAGATGTCTGAAGCAAGTAGGAGAAAATAGCAGCACATGCAATATAAGACAGAGACATTTGCTTAATGTTATTTTAAACATTCTGAAATAAATGGGTCTTTAAGAAAAATTAACAAATCCTAATTATTCAGTGTTTGTCAGCCTGTAATTTTTTTTTTAAGTCATCTAGTCAAGTAGGAAATGAAACAAAGCAAACTTTCTGGTATTTCCAGAAAGAAAGCAAACATCATGCTTAAATTTAAAATCCAAACTGAAAAATCTGTCTTACAACAACCATCTGCCTACTACATGATTTTAGCTATTATCTTTGGCATGACTTTCTCACTAACAAGAAAATATGCTCTGAATTTAGGTTTCGAATATATTTCATTTCTCAAGATGATCAAAATTCAAGAAATCAGAATTTGAGGAAAATCCTATTTTTGCTATTTGGAAAATAACCTGAATGTAACTGAGAAAAATGTTTTCCTGGAATTTGTTCAAATGAATTGCTATGCTAAAATTTGCTTTCCGTATATGAAAATTCTAACATTTTAGAGTGATTTTTTACCACTGTTTTTTTGAAAAATATAATTAATGGGTATTTTATGTGAAGAGAAAATCTTCCTGTCATTTCTCAAGGACTTTTATTTTGAGTTACATGCATAAACTTTGAAAAATCAAGCAAATACATTAAAATATCTGTTCTCAACAAACCAAAAATCTATGCCAACACATATGACAAGAACATGAGTACCATATCAACCTCACGGCTTCTGCCCAAATCCCAAGCCAAAAATAAAAATATGCGTTATCTAATGCATACTCACCTCTCAAAAGAAAACAGTTATTCATACCAATACCTTATTTAACAGAACTTTTGCATATTAAAAATTGCATGTAGTAATATTTAGACTGAGATTTTCCTGGAGGAGTAAAGATAGAATAACACATCACACAGATATTTCATACTCACCAGAGAAATCAATCACCCACACGGATGAACGCGATTGTAAAATTAAGCAGCTTAAGTTATACAGTGAAATCTTTTCATGGAATAAGGTTCATAAAAGCTACACTTTTCAAAGTTTACTGTTTTAAAATGAATATTTAAAATATAATATACCGTAGTACAACATGTCCTCTGTTATGAGAAAAGACGGGAGCCAATGAGATGCAGACGTCTAAGAAACTAATACGCTACACAATCTTCACCATTATACATAATGGTGTAAGATATGTACATGGTAAGAAATGGGTAAATTAAATCTAGTAGAAACACAGTTTAACAATACACATGCTGGCGTATGAACACATACATGCAAATACACACAGGTATGTATATATTATATGCACGCAAAACATGGTTTAGAGTAACTCATTAAAAAATATTTATTGAGTACCACCTTGTGCCAGGCATATAGCCACGGGTTTACTACCAATTCCCAAGAAAATGGGCATAACTAACAATAAAAAAACACCTCGAAGAAATGGGCAGTTAAAATAAGATTGAGCTAGATATGTGCTCGAGAATCTCCAGCACTCGAAGTAAACATTGAAAATGAGGTATAAATTCCAGCAAGAAGACATACAAAATCAATGAAATAATGGGCTCATTCTGCCTCATCACTGTTGACTTAAAATATTTTCTAATATACTGCAATAGAGGAGGGAAACAGGAGTTAAGTACAAGTCTTGAGGAGCATATACTGTTCCTTCCTACTAGAAGAGCTTATTCTACCCCTGACATATTATAGATATCTAAAGAAATGAGACACAAAAGGCAGGGATTATCAGCTGAGTTCTGATCATTAATATCCCTTCAGCAGAGGCTATTACTGTCCCATCTAAAATAGCCAAATGTGGTCCTCAGAAGATGGACGAAACTTCAAGCTGTGAGAAAAACTGGGTATGGTAACACATTCCCAGAGAGAACCTGTGATCTACAAAGCCATCTGAAACACGAATGATGGGTCTTTCCTAGAATATAGTTTCCCACGGGAGCCATCATGGCAATGCTGGTTCATTTCTCATGCCCAACAATAAAAGCCACATACTTAAAGTTTAGTACTCAAGGGCTCTTGTGAGCCATACCCCAAAATGCACTCATTCTACCTACATCAACCTTTGGATAAGGGCAAACAGTTATCCTAAGCTTTGAGGATTTAGGAAACTGTTTTTGAGGGAAAATGCCTCCTAACAGCCAATTCAAGCGATCAAGAGCATAACTGAAGCCCTCCCTGCAGCACTGGAGGGCGTTTGTAGGTTTATCTTGGTGATGAAGAAGTGGAAGCAGTCTTGCATTCCATCTCTTAGTTCTCACATCTACATGAACAAGGGAGCCTATGCTTCTAGATCTCCAAAAGACAAGTCCTTCTTCTGAACACTCACCTCAGATATGCTAACCTAGAGAATAAAGAGTACTTCCCATTAGGAGGACAGATGCCAGGAACGTGGGTTTTCTGAGATAATTATTTAGTCATGTCATTCTTCAACACTGTAAACATTTCCAAACAGGATACTGTAGGTGTACATATGTGTATGTGTACAGCACATTTACCCTTACAATCATGAGTGTCTGTGAATATAAATATTTATAATATTAAAACTTTCCCAGAGAAGCCATCTCTGTATTCCAAGTGAGATGGGGTACCCCATACTCACAGCACTCTTTTTTTTTCTTTATAACATTTATAACTCTAATTAAATGATTAAACATACAATTAACATTTTAATATAATTGCCACTCCTCCCACCCCCAAGACGGAGAACTCCATGACAGAAAGCTCTGTCCTGATCACTAAGTATTCTCGATATGCAACCACAGTACTTGGGTCATAACTGGGACTCAATAAAACGTAGTGGAATACCAGAGTAAATGAATAAATTATGGTTAGTGAACAGCAAGACTCTCTGACAACATAATATATATTTACATCGAGATACTATAAAGCCCTTCACTGACTCATTCACCCAAAATATTAAATGGCTTACTATGTCCTAAGAACTGTGTTTGGAATTGCAAATAACTTAGCTGTTTATCTGTGATATATATTTCAGTATATTCAACTTTATTAATTTATTTACTTATTTATTTTAATTTGACCAGAGAGAGACAGAGTGAGTAAGAGACAGAGAAAGTGAGAAAGCAAGCTGCCAGGTCCAGGACTTGAACAACAGTCAGCCATGTGGGAGTTCAGCACCCTAACCACTATGTCACCTGCTGGCCTCAAAGTATATATAGGTATAGTCTATATACTAGGATATAGTAAAAGTAATAGGGAGCATAACAAAAGAATTTAGTTTATAATAGTTAAGCTGAAAGAGAATTTGCCATATCTACATATAGATGCACAAAAAATACAATAGAAAAAAGTTGTAGAGCATGGAAAGTAAAATGTCTGGGTTTAAATCAGCTCAGCTAATTACTATGTGGCATAGTCTTTAGCAAGTTACTGAGTTTCAGTGTTCTCATTCACAAAATGTGAGCAAATAATAACATCTAGGTTCTAGGATTGCTGCAAACATAAATAAGTTCATATGGAGAAAGTTACTAGAACAGTGCCTGGCATAAAGCAGTCTGATAAAAAAATGTGTGCTGGGTTATACACAAAATATTGCTACTGTTACTACTATGATAAGATTAGCTCATTGAAAGTATGATATAAATACGGGTAACTGAGAAGTGTGCCTCTCCAATCAGAATGAAATCCACAAAGTGGCTAATAAGAAATAAATGGTGGGAAAATAACCCAGCCTCAAATTCTTCACCAGGAAGAATGACCACTATGCATGACTACTAGCAGTGTAACAGGAGAAATCTGGCTCTATTCTCAGCAGCGTGTTCGCATTAACAAATCCAATTTTCATAAAGACCCTCCGAGGTTGGTACTGCTATCCTGTTCACAAATGAGGAAAATAATGCAGAGAATTAAATCACCCAGATCACAGAGCAAGGAAGCAAGGGGATCAAGCCTCGAGCCCAAGCTGTCTTGGGCTACTGCTTCTTGATATAGCTCAGATACTATGAATCCCTTTGCTCACTCATTTGCGGAAAAATTAAGTGGCTTATTTACTACGTCCTAGGAATTGTGTTTGGAATTACAGACAATGTCAGGCAGTTACCTTTCTTGAGAAGCTTGCAGACACACTGAGTAGAAATACAAATAAACACAGAATTACCTACTTACATACGAGTAGTGGCAATTACCGAATACCTAGTGTTAGGCACTTTGCTAAGTGTCTTACCTTGATTACTTATCCTAAATCAACTCTTAAAGCAACTTTACACAACTAGGGTCTATTTTCATCTCAATTTTGTAGACTGAAAAAAAAAATGAAGCTTAGAGGGATTATATAGATGCCTTTTTTTAAATTTTTTTTTTAGGTTTTTGTCATAGGGTGTATGGGCTCTCTAGAGAGCAAGTGACAGAGAGACAGTGAGAGGGAAAGTGAGACTCTCCCTCCCACCTAGTCCTGGAGATTGCCGTAAAGCAATCCCGGCCCTGTGGGAGTCCGGCCACTAAACCACCATGTCGCCTGCTGGCCCTAATGCTGCTTTTCTTTCTTTCTTTCCTGAGCTAGAAAGAGACAGAAATGGAGGACGAAAGAGAGAAAGACAGATACTCCCACAGGGTCATGCCGTAATGCACTCCCACCTTCAGCTGGCCCAAAATCAACAGTCTGTGTGATCGGCACATTTTAGGTGGTCCTGAGATGCAAATCTGGAAGACCACAATGTGGTTGGTAGCTCAGAGGGTCATGTTATTGTTGTGTCACCAGCCAGCCCCTAAATATATGCTTTTGATGTCTTTACTGACTCCAGTGCTTCACATTTTTAAGAGTTCAGTTAGAACTCCGTAAGAAGACAGTGAGAGGGTGGTAAACAACTAGGGAAGTCTTCAGAGGCATCTAGCATTGGACTTGCCTGGGAGAGTAGGGGCTGGATGATGGAGCAGTTGTAAGGCAACACTCTACATTGTCAGACCACAGAGGAAGGTCCCAGGGCTTCCCAGGGCCTTTCTGTGCAGGCTGGGCCAGGTCAGTTGAGGCTGGAGGTGGGTCACAGTTCAAAGATTGAAGACTGTTGTGCCTGCATGTGTATCTCTTGTTCTCCATTTCTCTTTTTATGGAAAAAATAAATAAACTTAAAAAATATATAGTAGTTGTGTCTGAGAGGGGGATGGGCATACAGCAGAAGGAAAATCACGGGAAGTCATTAAAGCAAGAGACACCTCGGAATAGTCTGGTACTGGAACAGTCGGGGGAGGATGGAGGTATTGAAATGGGGGAGGGAGTAAGAGATGATGCTGGCGCCAGACTGAGAAGCTCGTTACTTGTCACACAGAAGAATTTGCCTTTTGGGCTGGAGCAATGATGGACCAAGAGAGGATTTTAAGAATTTGGAGACAGAGCAATTGATGGATCATCACAATTTTATCCATTTATTTGCTGAATACTACTCTGCTGTTAAAAAGAATAAAATCCTGTTGCTTGTGGCAATGTGGACAAACCTGGAGCACATAAAGGGAAGTAAGCCAAGCACAGAAAGAGAAATGCCACATGCTCTCACTCAGAGGAGGAAACTGGATGAGAGGCAGGAGTAGAACAGTGATTACCAGAGCTGGGAATGATGGGGTGTGGGAGAGAGATGTTGGTTAACAGATTCAAAGTTACAGGTAGGAAAGAATAAGTTCTAGGGCTCTCCAGCAAAATAAAGTAATTGTAACAATAGTATACTGTGTTTCAGAGTTCTGCTAAAAGTGAATTCTGAATGTTTCCAAAGCAAAGTAATGATAAATGATTGAGATGATGGATACCGCTCAGTTCCTCACTGGAACGTTACACATAGTAATCTATACTGAAAAATAACATTGTAGCTCAAAAATGTGTATAGTAACTACATGCTAATTTAACATCTTAAAAGGGCCAGCAGGTAGAGTGGTAGTTGAGGCGCTAGACTCTCACAAGGCCAATCACAGTTCAGGTTCCAGACCCAGCAGCTTGAAAATCATGCCAGGAGTGTGTGCACAAAATCCTGAGAGGAGAATGGAAGAGAAGGGACTGCAAGGTGGCCATCCCTCCTAGGGGGTGATTTATCACCTTCCCTTTCTCTGTCTCTGTCTCTCTTTCTCCAATGAGTGCACTTGCCCTATGGGTGGTGGGGATATTTTTAAAGGATCTTGGGTAAAGAGATCAAATATGTACTTTTTAAAACAACGTAACAAGGCCCTGCTGTGGTGCCACACACTGCAAAGGTACTGTGCTCCACAGGCTGGGACAACATGGGAAACCTGGGTTTGATTCCCAGTCCAACCTAGAGACAGGCCTTGGTAGTGTGTGTCTGTATTCCCAGCAACTTGGGGAGGTTAAGCAGGAGGAGCAAAGCTGCCAGGCTGCCCTAGACAACACAGTGGGACCCTCGGGGAGAGCCTGGTTAACGGCTGGAAGAATACAAGTAAGAAAGTGGAATGGTGTATAGGAGGCTACAGTACATCAGAGGAAAGACAGCTAGTGACAATCTAACATTTATCCAAACAACCAGAAGAATAAATTTCAAATGTGTACAACCATAAGTAAGGACAAATGGTAGAGATGGTGGGTGTGTTTATTTTCTTGATTTGACTATTATACATTGTATACATGCTTTGAAAACTCACACTGGACCCTACAAAGATGTACCACTATCATATGTAAATTTAAAAATATAATTAAAATTATTATTTTTTTAGAGGTTTTTGTCTTAGGGTGGGTGTGCTTGCCAGAGAGAGAGGACAGTAAGAAATCATTCCCAGGGGGGTGGGCATGTCACAATCTCTTCATCTCCATTCTCCTCTTGGAATCCTGGGCATGCACACATACACACACAGCATGACTTTCAAGCCACGAGGTCCAGGACTTGAGCCACAGTTAGTCATGTGAGGAGTCCATCAACGTAACTGCTATGCCATCTGGTGGCTCAATTATTATTATTTTTTTTAAAAGAAGTGTGGGCCAGCAGGTGGCACGGTGGTTAAGGGCACTGTACTCCCACATGGCCAACCATGGTTCAAGTCCTGTACCTGGTGGCTTGCTTTCTAACTTTCTCCTCTTCTCTCTCTCTCTCTGTGTGTGTGTGTGTGTGTGAGTGTGTGTGTGTGTGTGTTTCCTTCTCTGGTCAAATTAAAATGAATAAATAAGTTCAATAAAAAAATAAAAATATTAATAAAAAAAGAGCCAGGTATGCCAGCATGCTCCTGTCCCAGCTGGCAGACATGGTAAGATCTAGTCTTAAAAAATAAATAAATAAATAAATAAATAAAAGAAGAAGAAGAAGGAAGGAAACATAACTAGCAGCAGTGTGGAGACTGCACTGGAAAAAAGTGATTATAGGAACACACTAATGTATTTTCAGCTATAAAAGAGATACACATTAATGAACCACATAGTCCAAGGTGAGGCTTCAGGAATAAATTATTGTAACTTATCAGTGGAATTCCGTAAGGAGTGTTATTAAACAAATTAATTAAAATAAAATATAGTTATACTATTTGGCTGTTTTATTTGACTTCAGATAAATAAACTGGGGTTTTTTGTTTGTCTTTTACAGAACCAAGACCTAGGATTGAGAGTTTGGATTCTAGATCTATTTTTGCACTTGAATCATTGGACAAGTAACAGTATCCCATACAGAAGAAAAGGGGGCCACTTGTTCCTATTTGGAAAACAAATGAAAGATTTAGTACCAAAACTGTAAATAAAAAGTATTATGTCCTATTTTAAACTTTTTTTCTATTAGCAACCAGAGGCCCTACTTTTCCAAAGGTTATTTCTTTATAATATTCTAAAGTAAGACTCTAATTGCTTCTACTCTAAGTACAACTACTATAAAATGAATGACCACTTCTCAAGTCAACATGAATGTCACTGAAGTCACCTGGAACAAGCATAGTGTGAGATAAGGTGCAATGTCTTATTTGAAATGTTTTAAAAAGTAAGTCGATTTTAGGGTCAGCAGGTGGCATGGTAATTAGAGGTGCTAGATTCCCACATGGCCGACTGCAGTTCAAGTCTCAGACCTGCTTTCTCATGTTCTCTCTCTCTCTCTGGTCAGATTCAAAAGATAATAATAATGGTGAACAATACTGAATAATTTAAAATAAAAAAGTAAATCAATTTAGCTAAAATTCAATAAATTTGAAAGTTATAATGAACAATAAAGAAGTACTTCCAAATGCTTAGAGAGCAGCAATAATAATGGTGAATAATACTGAATAAATAATTTAAAATAAAAAAGTAAATCAATTTAGCTAAAATTGTATAAAGTTGAAAGTTACAATGAATGATAAAGAAGTACTTCCAAATGCGTGGAGAGCAGCAGTATTCAGAAAATATTCACTTGATGCTTACCTTAGTAATAATTCGGTAAGTAATGAAAGTTTCAATTGTAGTGACATGGCTTTCAGGTTCATCCACTGTAATGAAGAGATCCTTTAAATCTGGCTCATCTTCAAACTTGATTTGGTTTATCATTGATAAGGGGGACGTTGGCATCACAGGGCTGAAGGAGTTCATGTCCATCAGTGAGGCATCCTAAGGAATAAAACATTCAAAAAGTGACATCGATAGGAAAAATTAGTAAAATCACCCCGTTCTTAGACATTGAAAATGTGAATGAAGTGCAAAGTATGTCAAGGACAAAGAATTACAGGGGCCCAGATGGTAATGCAGTGGTAATGAGACTATTACCAGTTTAAGATTGGTGACCTCTTTGTGTGCCCATAATCCAGGCTGGCTGAGGCTACAGGTAGACTACAGGATCAAGACCTTGACACAGGACCTGTAACTGTTTCTCTGCATATGTTTGTCTCTCTCACTTGTGGAACAAATTCAAAAGTTAAAATAAAAAGACTTTGAAATAAATATGGGGATACCTCAAGAAGTTTATGGAAAAGTAGAATTAAAGGATGAATTTATTTCAGTACAAAACAATTTTGAAATTCATACATAATTTTTCCATAATACATATTTTCCATGAACTTTTTGAAGACCCCCTCCCCACATATGGTATGCTGAACATGTATTTTTTTATCTGTTTCCCCTTAAAATCTCACCCCCCCAAAAAATGGCAGTCAAGAAATAAACAGGCTGTCCCCATAGTATAGTAATTAGGTGTTACACATTAGGAGCCAATCCCACAAAGCCAATGATGGTTCAAAACCCAACCCTGACAGCTTAAAACACATGCTAGGTTTGCATGTATGTGTGTCCAAAATCCTGACAGAAAGGAAAAATGGAGGAAAAACAATTACGGTATGGTCAAGTTCTGTGAGGGAGTTCTCTCTCTCTCTCTGCATTCCCTAGCAAGTGCATGCACCCTTTGGCAATTAAAAACGTATAAAAATAGAAACCCTCAAGTACTGTTATAATAGGAATGCTTGTGTTATCTCCAAGATTGTGTTGAAAGTTAGTACTCCATACCACAGTATTAAGAGGTGGGACATTTAGAAGGTAATGACTTCAGGAAGGCAGAGTTTTTATGAATGGGATTAGTGACCTTATTTTTAGAAAGTACTAGAAGGAACTAGCTAGCCCCTTTCTTGCCTTTCCAACTTCTGCTGTGTGAGGACAGAGCAACAAGGCTGTCATCTTGGAAGTAGAGAGTAGCCCTCACCAGACATCGAACCTGTCATCCCTTGGATCTTGGACTTCCCAGCTTCCAGAACTATATGAAATAAGTTTCACTTATTTATAAATTACCCAGTCTCAGATATGTTGTTAAATGGGCACATATAGAGTTAGAATAGAAACAAGAAATATAACAAAATATATCAGCTCTATTTTGGAAATTGGAAATCTGGTCTTTAATTAGTAATTGAAATAGAAGTGCGAAGAAAGCTGAGAAATAACCCAGAAGACAATGTTAGTTAACCTAGTGAGAAACAAGCTTATTTATGATACAGAATCCCAGAAAGAGTCAAAAATTAGAGATACCAAAAATCCGTTGACATATAGTGATAGAGCTAAAACCAAGGAATTAGTTGAAAATTGAATTAAACAAACAAGTTTAAGGGAATCTCCTATTCCTTTTTCTACCCCATATAATCAGATAACTTTCCCACTTCAACTCTGCAGAACACTGAAAATTTACTTTCTGGAGAGACTGTCAACTCAAAGAGAGCTGAGTAGATAGGATAAGCGAAGAGGCCCTATGAAAAAACAGATATCAAGTGAAAGACTTGCACACTTGAAAGGATACCCAATCCTCTTTCTTCGCTTGATCCCAAAAAATGTTGGCAGAAAGGTACAAAACTCTATTATCAGTCCCTGGACTGCTAAAACAAAATAATACCATATACTAGGTGGCTTATAAAAAGCAGCAATGTATTCACAGTTTGGAAGGCTGGGTGTCAGCAGATTCTGCACCTGCTGAAGGCCTGGTTTCTGTTAAAGTTCATAAACAGCTATTCTCACTGTAACCCACATGTAGAGGGGTCAAGGGTCTCTCCTGGAGTCTCTTTTTCCAAGGCGCTGATTTCATTCATGAGACACCTGATAGCCTAATCACCCCACAAAGACCCCAGCAGTACTATTACCCTGGGAGCTAACATTTCAACATAAGAACTGTAGGATGACACAAACATTTACACCATCACATCCACAGTGGTTAGAGGTTCTTCTCTTAGTAATCTTTTTAACAGAAAACTGTTTTAATTGCCTCATGAATTAGCCAGGTCTCTGCATTAATCACTCAACAGCAAAGCCCTATGAAAGCTATCAAAAGAGGAAGAAAGAGAGAGAAACAATAGAGGAAGTAGAGAATAGAGAAAATGCTTTAAAAAACTATAGGATCATGGAAATATAAGGGAAGATGTTAACATGAACTAAAACACAGTGTTATTAAAATGAACCATCAGAGAACAGCAACACCAAAGTAAAAGGAGGCTCATGAAAATTAAAATATGAAGGGCCACCTCAGTAACACAGCGATTAAATATTGTATGGAGAAAGCCAGATCTCACATGGCCAACTAGCGTTCAGATCTCAACTCTGGCACTTGAAAAACACACGGGAAGCAGGACCAGTAGTTAGCATAATGGCTATGTCGCTGGACTCCCATGTAGTCGACCGCGGTTTGCGTCCTGGACCTGGTGGCTTAAAACACACGCTAGGCGTGTGTGCATGCATGCCCAAGATCCCAAGAGGAGAACAGAGGAGAAGGAATTGCGGCGTGGTCATCCCCCCTGGGGGTGATTTCTCACTTTCTGTCTCTTTGTCTGTCTCTGTCTGTCTGGCGAGCGCACGCGCCCTATAGCAAAAACCTCTCAAAAAAACACAAAAAAAACCCCAAAAAACCCACACACACATACTGGAAGCATGTGCACATATGACCAGGATCCCAATGGAAAACAGAAATGGAAGAAAGGGATTGCAGTATGACCAGGTCTATGGGGGGAGAGAGGGAGCTCTCTCTTTCTTGGGCACACACACACGCACCCTCTGGCATAAGTGAAATAAATCAAGAAAATAAAACTCAAGAGAAATTTAACAGATAAAACTCACAATTCTGCATTATGTTGAACCAAAAAAAACAAGAGATGAAACATGAGAAAGATTTTTATAAAATTAAAGGATCCATATAGAAAGTACGTGAATAAAAAAAAAGAAATTCCAGGGAATGAAAAATGTTCTTAAACAAAAGTATTTCCAGATTGATAGGACCTATCCGACCTCCCTCCCCAAAATGATGGGACAAAGGTGGAGTGGGCAGTCATTGTATAAGCACCCACTGCCATAACATTTCATAATAACAGCTTTTTTTTTAATATCTGAAAGATTTCAGAGAGAATATATGCAAGTAAAACAAAATAGAAATCCCGGAAATGAAAATGGCATCAGATTTCTCGATGATAACACCGGAAATTAAATGACAATAATGTCTTCAGCATTTTGAGAAGAAAGTACTTCCCATCTACAAGTCTACAAAGTCAGGCAAGTATATTAGTAGATTAAGCCACTTCAGACATTCAAGATTTCAAAAATGAACTTCCCATGCACCTATTCTTTGGGAGCTTTTTTTACTTATCCAAAACAAGAGCATATATCAAGATAGAAAACAGAATTGAAAAGTAAAGAGACCCAACAAAAGAGAAAAGTAAAGGGAATTCCCTAGATAGTGAAAGAATATTTCAAGTCGATATCTAATATAGGAGCATATTCCTGATCAGAAAAGATGCACAGACCTATTTAGGAATCATGAGGCATTGTGTCTCCAATCTACCCTCCATGTGCACATAGAGACAGAAAGCAAAAGCTGTGAATGGGTAATAGCTGGAGAATCTGGATTCTTTGTAGTGCTGTTGCAACTTTTCTCTAGGTTTAAAGTAATTTCAAAACAATATTATGTTTATTACTTGTTTTTTTGAAAGATTTTTGCTATAGAGTAATGGACTAGCCAGAGAGACAGAGAGGGAAAAGAAAGAGAGAAATCACCCCCCGGGGGATGGCCACACTGCAATCCCTCTTCCTCCATTCTCCTCTCAGGATTTTGGGCATGCACACTCATGTGCCTGCTGTGAGTTTCAAGCCTCTGGGTCTGGGACTCAGACCACAGTTGGCCATGTGGAAGTCCAGCGACATAACCATTACGCCATCTGCTGATCCAACCAGCAGTAATGGTTATGTCGTTGGACTCCCACATAGTCGACTATGGTTTAAATCCCAGACCTGGTGGCTTAAAACTCACACCGGGCACATATGCGTGTGTCCCCAAAATCCAGAAAGGCAAATGGTGGAGAAGGCATTGCAGCATGGCCTTCCCCCAGAGGATGATTTCTCATATTATGCCTGTCTTTTTCTATAGCAAAAATCTCTTTGAAAAAAAAAAAGTCAAATCATAAAGCTATAGAATATTTATAACATTAAAAAATTCAAAACAGCATTCCCTGCTCCATACAAACTGCTATTGCTAGTTCATGAGCCTCAGAAGCAAATTCAGAACTGTATAGGTTCTTTTTCTTGTAACATTTCTCATTTAAAATAATATATATTGCTTTTTAAATTTTTTTTCAGTTTTGATATTATCAATGGATTTTCTACTAAGGAGAATGAAGAGTATTTATTTACTTAGTCAAATAATTACATGAGTATTGACTCACAGATTTCTATTTTATTCAATGGGTTGTAATCCATTAACATCATAATTTATTGCAATGTTTAAACAGCCCCAGATTTGACTATTGGGAGCCCCTGATGGCTGGCACCTGTGTACTCTTATGCTTTCATTATTCCTTGAGCACTTTATTTTCAGGCATAACGAGATGTTCCAGGTGAATACTCCTCCTTTCTCTGCCCCAGCCCTGGAATCAGACATTTCTTCAAGGAGCTGTGGTTCCTTTTAGAAGACGTGGTATTTTACAAACCAAGATATGAGTGCCAGAGAATATATGCATCATATACATACATATACATATAACACACCCACACACGTATACATACACATAAATCTAGACCTATATAAAACTTCTAGAGTCCCCAAAGATAACTCTAATTCGAACTTAACACCATATAGCACATTCTAGCCTTCTCCCTTT